ACAAATTTTCCCCCAAGCAATGAGTAGAGCTGTTCTTTCTGTAGCTTTCTTCTTAATGTAAATTACATCACATATATTTTTTTAAATGAGGATAATAATCTGCCTATTCTCTCAGATAATATAATCAAGAGAGATAGCAAGTAACCTCATTATTTCTGTGTAGTGGGTTTCAATATAAAATTTCACTTCTTTATTCACTCTCTTAAATTTACTATATGTGGAGAATAAAGAAAAGTGAAGTATGTGGTAAGAGAGAAAAATAATTTTATGGCTAGCCACAATCTGCCAAAATATCACTATATGCCTTTGGGACAATAATTAGCAGGTAATAAAATATGTTTTTCCTCGCAGATAAATGGTCTCAGGGCACACTTTTCTGCCTATTTTATGAGAATGAGACTCAAGTGAGCCTGATGGAATGTTAAGAATGGATTAGAATAATAACACTACAATTCTTATACAAGTAATAAAATTATTGTTATTGTTTTATAACCATTATATATAAAATGAAGTAAAAAGAAAAGAGCGAGTAATACCTGTCATTTATTCTTGTAAAATTTGGATACCTACCCTTTTACCTACTGCACCTGTGACATACGAAAAGATAATTACCAAAACAATGATTAATTAACATAACTGATAAATTCTGTTTGAATTTATGAGAAAACTAACTTTGACTCTTTGATGTAATTACAAGTGTGCATTTTTGGATATACACAGTAAAGATAGCCAGAATTCCTAAATATCTACATATATAAGTTAATAAATACATCATATGACTTAAAGTAAACATTTGGCATGTCCTAAGCAACAGAAGTGATAAAAGTCACAGATGCAAATATAGCTTTCTGACAATCTCAGTGACTATATAAAAAGCCAATTAAAACTCTCTGTATAAATCACACAGAGTATGCATAAAAAAAGCATAAAAAAGTTCTAAAGTATCCTTAAAAAGTTATTGTAATATTAAAGATTAGCAAGTAAATACAAAGTTACAAATTGCATTAAACAGATTCTTCCACAGAAACAGAACCAATGGGACACATGGAGAGGAAGAGAGAGAAATTGAGATTTATTTATTTGAAGGAATTAGCAAATGTCAGGTATTTTAGAGGCTAGCAAGTAGGAATTCCTCAGGGCAAGCTGGAAACTCACACAGGATTTCTATCTTACAATATTGAGAAAGAAATTCTTCTTTTTCAGGAAACCCTCTTATATTTGCCCTTATGGCCTTTAATTGATTGGATGAGGCCCACTCATCCCAAGTAAAGGGTAATATCCTTTACTTAAAGTCAACTATTATAAATGTTAATAAAAATCTGCAAAATACCTTCACAATAATATTTGAATCAGTGTTTGACCAAACAAACATCAACGCCTCGCAAAGTTGAGACATAAATGAACCATCATATAAACCTAACAGGTTTTACTTATCAAATTACAAGTTTTAAAATTTTCTGGTATAATTTCAGTGAATGAGTATGTTCTTGTATTGTTTATTATCTATAAATTGGTACACACATATATTACATTTTTAAACATATATTACAAAGACTTATATTGTAAATAATAATAACAAAGGTTGTTTCCACATAATTAATTTCACTTCTAGAAATTTTTGCTAAAGAAACAATGATAAACTCATTTTCCCTTGTTTAATGTACTAATGCTTTAGAACTGAAAATCAAGCCTTTTTTGGGGGGTAGGGAGGGAAGTGTGGAAAAGGGAGGTAATACATAAGCTAAATTAGTCATTGCAGCATGGTAGATACCGGACAAAAATTGGGCATAACCTAAGTTTCCTACAATAGAAACCTCAGTACAAAACTACCAGTACAAACCTGTTTGAGAACTAAAAATAAGAGAGAAACACACACACACACAGAGTGAGAGAGAGAGAGAACTAAATTGTTTCCATGGAACCATTCAGCTATCATTTCAAATTTCAAATGACATCTCAAGAAATATGATTTGAAAAAAATGTGTGGGATCACCATTTCTACACTTTATATGATTTTACCTACTGATGAAATCCCCTTTTAAGGTTGTTTTCTTTCAATAGTATTTCATCATACTAAATTGTTTATGATCCTCTAAATGTCCTGTCATAGTTTTGAACGCTCTTCACCAAATATTTCCAGTTGATGGATATGAGATGTTTTTCTATTTATTTAGGTCATGTTTAATTTCTTTCAGCAATGTTTTGTAGTTTTCAGTGTACCATCTTTTACCTCCTTAGTTAAATTTATTTCTAGATATTTTATTCGTTAAGATGCTATCGTAATTTGAATTGGTTTCTTAATTTCCTTTTTGATTGGTTCATTAAAGCAGTGTAATGGAAACATTACTGATTTTTGTATGTTAATCTTTTAACCTACAATTATGCTCAATTCATTTCTTAGCTCTGATGTTGGCTACACTTGACAAGGCATTATAAAAAAAATGACAAATTAACTCTGAATTCACAAGAAAAAAGATAATTTACAAACAATGAACTATAGGCAATAGAAAAAGTTCAGAAAATCAGGGATTTGCAGGGACGACCATATTCTCAACCTTAATATATAAAAGAAACAACTGAGAAGGCCTTTGAGGAACAAAGACAAATTAAATTAAAACAAAGTGTATGTTAGTCATACTCATTGTTAAAGATTCCATCCATTAAGATGTCTCCAAGCAATGACCCAATAAGGCTGTGATTGTACTATTTATACTTTCATTTGGATCAAATGGTTTAGGGAGAAGAGATCATTGGGATTTCTTCAAACCAGGTTTGATAAATAAAGTTATTTTTAATCAGAAAAAGAGAGATTCAGACAAATATGAGGGTAGAAAGCACATAAACTGTGAGTTTGGTTTGCCTTCACTAAGGAAGCTGATTGTAATCACAGATAAGAAACTAAAAGAGCCCAGTGGGTGTATCTCAGTGGACTGAGCAGTGTTCCATGGACTAAAGGTCCCAGTTCAATTCCCAGTCAGGGCACATGCCAGGTTTCAGGCTTGATCCTCAGATCTATGTTTCTATGTTTCTCTCCCCCCCCCCCCCCATTTGCTAAAAAATCAATAAAACATATTTTAAAGAAAGATGCTAAAAGAACCATTACTCTGAACTGTAACTATTTGCTACCTAAAATGACTCAATTTTCTATAGACAGAAAGCAGGCTGAAAAATGGTATAATGTCCAATACTATGTTAGATATAGCCAACAAAGATACTAAAAAATTTAAAACCTACAAGAGCATAAAATAAAATACAATGGACTAGAGACCCTGTCCCTAAACCCTAAAAAAGAAAATCATGGTAAATGAAAGAGCAATCCTAACCAGGCAGAGATTCTTATTTAATTTGTCCACTGAAATTTTAGAATTGCTACATACTAATGATAGCTGTGCATCTCTGATCCTCAATATTTGCTACAGAGAAATTAGAGTAAATACCCTACCTTCATCTCACCACTGACTACCAGATTTGTTGTGGGTAAATAACATACATTTTGGTCTCTAGTTCTTCAAGTACAAAAGAACTACATATCTGGACCAGAAGATATGGAAACTGCAGCATATCACTCCCCACCTGTGACCCAGAAACCCCGGACTTTCGGCGTGAGGCATTAGCTGGATAGAACTTCTAGATTTTTACCCACAGGGACAGGATAATGAAATTTGCGTGTGAGACGGAAACGGGTACATGGTGACCAAAAGAGGAGACTGTGGTATATTGGTTCTGTTTATCATCTATTTCCTGCTCTCTCCCTTCCAGGTTCATGGTAAGCTCTCAACATGGCCCCATTAAGATTGAGGGGAAGAGAGGAAACATTGTGAATGTAAATTGGGAATAAAAGTGTCATTTCCAGTCCAGAATATTGAATTACTGGTATTAAATCTGACTGGGCTTGTTTTCACTCTGCAACAATAACAGGTAACGTATTACGTTGGAAGGACACTATCAGGATATTTCCTAGGGTTAGGACAACATGAGACTAAGCCCCAGATAACCGTCAGTGTATGTGCAGCATGAGTAAGGTATAAATCTTGTGATTTAAAGCCAGAGAGTTTAGGGTATAACCTAACCTGCCCTGGCTAATACATACCTTAGGCTGTTGTCACAGTTTTATGACCTTAATTTTTCTCTGTGATTTTTCTGTTATATTATGAAGTCATATAACTTTGTTCCTGAGACAACCTAGTATTTCGCCACCCAAAAGAGTATAATTGTTAGATAAAATTTATAAAATTCCCTGTGTATTTCCTCTTTCAAGCCATTTATTAAAATGACATTGAAAAATATTTAATAGAACTGACCTCCATCTTAGGGATGAAGGGGTATATTTATAAATCTCCATTCAAATTCTATACCTAATTCTGTTTTCCTAATAATTAGTATATTTTCTTCCCATACAAAATAGGTCCTTTAAATAAAGCTGATTTTTATTTTCCTCTACCAAGTTTTGTTATTCAAAAGTGCTGCTGAGAATTTCTTGCACTGTTATTTATGTTATGACACATTCATAAATGCTCAACTGATTGTTTAATGTAAATCAGCTAATTGTGTCTTTGACACCTTCTAAGACATTGAATCAGAAGAGAAAAAAATTCAAATAGAAACCAATGCCTATATGTAACACAAAGTAACTCAAGCATAAATACTTTTAAAAATGCATTATTTATAAATCTTAAACTAAAAATCATTACACGTGATAACACACTTATAGTCAGCTATTTGTTTCTCTTATTTGATAAATAATATTATAACCCAGAAATTAATGTAAGAATTATCATTAATTTGAGGAAGTCCCACATATTTTTGCCCTTTAGCCCTATTTTTAGTCTATCATAAAATTCCCAAACTTTAACATGGCGTTTACATAAGCATATTTTTTTTTCTCCAAAATACACCATGGAAAGTAAATGGTACGAAACTGAATAAACAGTTATAAAGCTCTCAGGGGAGGAGAGTCAGAAGAAAAGTATAAATATGTAATGGATGTGCAATTTTATTACCTGAGTATTTAACAACTCCTCACACTTGTGTGCTTGTTTCTCAATTGCAGAAATGTACTGTTTTTCAATAGCTTCTACTTGTTGCTGAACTGAAGACTGTAGTAGTGCCTAAAAACAAACAACAGAAAGTCATTTGGATCACAGACAAAACGTGAAGTCTACTATTGGAATGAGAATTTTTTGACGGTTGTACATATCTGAAACATGATCCTCCTCTGCATTAGAAAATACACATTTGTGAATATTGAAGCACATTCATCTATAACACAACTTGAAGCTTTCTGGTTTTAGTTTTCTTATTACCAAGACTACAATTTTTTGGCCAGATGTTCCTTCCACACACCTCTCCTTAGAAAAGGCCAAGTCATAGAAGATGATAAAGAGAGTGAGTAGTTCTGTTAAATATAAATTCAGTTTAGTAAAGACCACACAGGATGAGGAGCGTATGAAAGCTGCTAAAAAAAAAAAAAAAAAAAAAAAAGAAGAAGAAGAAGAAGAAACCCAGACATATTTCACTGGCTGACAAAACTCTACATCCTCTCGGCACACTGTAATATCCCATGGGCCAAGCATGATCTTCAAGACCACAAGTCAAGTAAAAGCAGATGGAAACTCTGAGCAATTTCAAACATAAAAGAATTGCCCCCCAGGAAGTTCACATCCTTAATGTGAAAAGGTATAAGTCAAACTGTGGAAGTTAGTTGGAATCTCAAGGCAGTATTCATAAAAAGTAATACAACTTGGGAGACTGGACAAACTTAAGTGGGTATTGTAAGTGCTGGAACCCCACTCAGTCCGTTAGACACAAAGACGTTAATGCTGCTCTACGGGAAACCAAATCAGCATTTGAAGATGTTCCACTCACTCACTTCCTTATTGGAAATGCTTAAAATATTATCTTTTTTCCTTTCCTTTTTTTAAAGCATTATATGTTATACTTAACATCTTCCCAATATTATCTTACATACTATTTATAAACCCCAAATCATTCTAAAATATGCACTCAACCATATATATATATAAGAATTCTTAAGCAAATATTCTATTTTTGAAGGTCTATCTGGATAATAAACTACTCATAATCAAAATAGTAAGTTGAAACAGACACATGTCTTATAGAAAACAGACGTTTGGCACATTCACCAAAAAAAGAAAAAATAAGCTAAATCTCTTAAATAATCTCTGTTATGAAAATAGATTTACTTGGTTGGAAACAACATGCATTAAGAAGCTACATAAATATGCATGTATTTAAATAACACTAAGATAAAATATTTTTTAAACCTCTGGATAAGCCTCAAATTTTCAGATAATTAACTTTCTCTTGCAAATATTAGACTGTCTGATGATGCTACCACTCCTATAATTCAATATTCATCACTCTGAAGCTACAGAATTAATAGTAAATTTAGTAAAGGAAAATAGGGCTCTGACTGACGTTTAACCAAAATATAAAGAACTGATTTACCCTTTCATTTCAGATTATGTGATCTAAAGATTCCATAATTAATTTATATAAAGCACCAAAATGTAACCTCTTAAACTGTGACTAGATAATGCAAAGCTCTAATTTACCTTTGGCAAAATATAGTGTTTGTTGGATGTCAGAATATTTAAAGAACGGTATAGTTACAGACAATTTCCTTGGGTATATTCACTGTATCTTTTGTAGAGGGAAAAATGCCATTCTTTTTGTGGACTTCGGCTATCACAGTTGTTTTGCTTAATGGTAAGAACTGTTTTCACTTCCCTATTTGCCATGGTTCCAAATAATCCCACAGTTTAAATATCTAATTGTTATTTTTAGTAGATTATATCCTTTGGGGGATAGGTAAATTCATGAAATATTTTCCCACTGTATTTAAGAAACACAATTGAATAGCATATTTTTTCTCTAGTGATTGATTTCTACACCATATATTCGTTTTCTCCAAAACTTAAAAGAGGCAAGTACTATAGGATAACAAGTCAAGTTAGTGCCATAGCTGTAGCTATGGATCATGGAGAAAAGCTATGCACAAGTAACCAGTCTTTCATATAGTTCAAACCCCTTCCCTTTGCCCCATTCAGTCGTTTAAATATGGTTCTTTTCCATCTGACAAATTTCACTCAGCACGATACTCTCAAGCTCCATCCATGTTGTCACAAATGGCAGTATTTCATCTTTTCTTATGGCTGAGGAGTATTCCATTGTATATATGCACCTCATTTTCTTTTATCAAAGGAGACTGGCTGTTTCCATGTCCTGGCTACTATGAGTAATGCTGCAATGAACATAGGGGTACATATATCTTTATGAGTAAATATTTCCAAATGTTTCAGGCAGATATTCAAAAACGTTGGCTTGCTGGGTCATATGGTAGGTCTATTCTTAATTTTTTGAGGCAACTCCATGTTGTTTTCCAAAGTGGCTGTATGAGTTTACATTCCTACCAGCAGTGTGTGAGGGTTCCTTTTTCTCCACAACCTCTCCAACACTTATTTCTTGTCTTATTGATAATAGCCATTCTAACTGGTGCAATGTGGTATCTCACTGGAGTTTGAGTTGCACTTTTTTATAGATAGTATGTCCTCTTGGGAAAAGTGATGAACATTGTTTTATTGAATAGAATTAAGAGTAATGCAATTATCATCTCTGGTAATGAGTTAATTGTAACAAGAAGTAGCTCGCCCTGGCTGGTTGGGCTCAGCAGTTTGTCCCGGCCCTGGTTGGGTCGTGTGGGAGGCAGCCATTTGATGTGTCCCTTTCACGTCAATGTTTCTCTCTCTCTCTTCCTCCCACTCTATTTGAACAAAAAATGGAAAAATGTCCTTGGGTGAGGATAAAAAAAAAAAGAAGTAGGTCAATATTTTTCATGATCTCACAGAAAAGTACCATATACATACTACAAGTACCCTGAACAAGTAATACTTAACTTGAACTTCATTTGGACACTGTCTATCAGCATGTACTTCTACAATATTTACATTCTCCATTTTATTGCAAATGGGCATGCAACAAAGACTATGAAAATGAAGATACAGCATCCAAATGATGGCAGCCGACTAAATTTGGATCTGACTGTTGATCTTGGTTTCCAACTCATCTTACTGTTCAATGACTCTTGGCTAATGAAAGATCTATTTTGCCAATTTTGAGGTCTAACACATCAATCTATAGCTTTGTTGACGTGTAGTTCAGGAAGAGAAACTGATAGTTTGATATTATCATATATCATACAAATATACAAACTGATATATCAGAGAGCTAGTAATCCAACTGAGGTAGAGATATGGTTGTGTTAAGGAGAAGTATTAGACTATCTCTAAAAACATGTTTAGATATTTTAGAAAACTTTGCTGGGATACAAAAATAAATAATATAAGTAAAACCTATCAATGAGAGATGATTTAAAAGTATAGTGTAAAAGTCTTTAATCCATTTTGAGTTTATTCTTGTGTAAGGTGTAAGAAGGTGGTCTAGTGTTTTGTTTGTTTTTTCCCCCACATATCTCATAGAAAATAGACTGACAGATGTCAGAGGGGAAGGGCATTGGGTGTTGCATGAAAAAGGTGAAGGGATTAAGCAAATAAAACAAACAAACATAGACACAGACAATAGAATGGTGGTAACTAAAGGGAAAGGAGGGGATTGGGGGAAGTACAAGAAGGCAAAGGGAGATAAATGGTAATGGAAGGAGACTGGACTTGGGTCGGTAAACACACAATACAATATGCAGATGATGTATTATAGAATCGTACACCTGAAACCAGTATAATTTTATTAACCAATGTCACCTCAATAAATTCCATTAAAAAGATAAAAAATAAATAAATGAAAGTATAGTGCACTCTGGTCTATGTGACTCAGTGGTTAGAGTGTTGGCCTGTGCACCAAAGGGTCTCGGGTTCAATTCCTGGCCAAGGGCACATACCTGGGTTGCATTTTCGATCACCGACCCTGATGAGGGCACGTGCTATAGGCAAGCAATCTATGTGTCTCTCTCACACTGATGTTTCTGTCTCTCTCCTTCTCTTCCTCCCTCCCTCCCACTCTCTGTACAAATAAATCAATGCAAAAATTCTCCTTGGGTGAGAATTAACAAAATATAAAGTATAGTATAAATGGGAGTATAATTCTCTAGGGCAGCGATTTTCAACTGGTGTGCCACAAGAATTGTTAAAACATGTAACACCACATCTCTTTTATCACCCGATCTACTGATGGGCACTTGGGCTGTTTCAGATCTTAGCTATTGTACACAGCGCTGCTATGAACAGAGGGGTACATATATTCTTTCTGATTAGTGTTTCTAGATTCTTAGGATAAATACCCAAAAGTGGAATCACTGGGTCAAAAGGCAGTTCCATTTCTAATTTTTTTGAAGAAACTGTACACTGTTTTCCACACTCCCACCAGCAGTGCACTAAGGTTCTCTTTTCTCCACATTGTCGCCGCACTTGTTTGTTGATTAATTGATGGTAGCCATTCTGGCAGGTGTAAGGTGATACCTCACACAATGGGACACTACGTGGCTATAAAAGAAGGAATTCTTACCTTTGTAACAACATGGTTGTACCTGGGAGATTATTATGCTAAGCAAAATAAGTCAGTCAGAGAAAGACAAATAGCATATGATGTCATTTATATGTGCAATCTAATGAACAAAATAAACCGATGAACAAAATAGGACCAGAGGCATGGATACATGAAACAAAGACACAGTTGTCAGAGGGGAGGGAATGGAGGGGGACTGGAGGAGACTAACCAAGAACATATATGTATAGGCCATGGACACAGACAACAATGTGGTGAAGGTGTGTGGGAGAAGGCTAGGTGGAGAGGGGTAAAGGGAGGAAATGGGGGCTATCTGTAATTGTGTCAACAATAAAAATAAAAATAAAAATAAAAACAACTATGAGATACCTGAGTACTTAGTCAGGGGCACTGACCCCTTTTCCCTTAGATTGGCAAATAAAAAAAATGACAGTCAATACAACAATAGCGCTCCAGTGTAAATAAATCAAAATTACACCTCCTTTTTTTTTTCAGATCAGCAAACAATATGACATATATTTTGGTGTGCCACAGAATTTTAGTAATTAGTTTATGTGTGCCATAACAAAGG